CTGATCTGCAGGCCTGAGAGAGTCATCAGCCTTCCTCCTCTTTCCTTTTCCATTGTAAAAGTGCTCTTGTGCACCATCTGAAACACAGGTCCCATTGTGCATCGTGCAGTCTCTTGCTACTCTGCTGTCTTTTCAGAGATGAGAGTCAGAATTGTGTGATTGAATTATTTTTCACCCTCTCTGTGTTTAAATTTTTGCAATAAAGTAATTGCTAGGGACTCCTGCGTCATAGTCCAACCTCATATTAGTTTGTGCCCCTGAGACTCAATCATGTAAGTTCACGACATTGTCTATTCTAGTTTGGGGTGACTGTAATTTTTAATGATTCTTGCCTAAATTCCTGTGGAAAGTTTTGTTACTGGTCCTTGCATCTGTTTGGCCTGCTTCTTTTTCCCCACAGTTGCGTAGGAAAAGCTTATCACACTCCCATTCTGTGATCCGCTTCGCAAAGGGAGCTCTGTGCTCTCAAGTCCGCTTCCCATTAGGTTGGAAACTCCCAGTGCTGTAGTTACCTTGGATGAAGAAAGGAAGAATGATGGATACACTGCGTCCATCCCAGCTGGCCACCTTCCCAGCTGTCCCAGAAGGAGTGGTACTGGAGCATACTTGTGACCCCTCCAAAGAGGTTGGAGAGGCGTGGAGGGAGCAAGAGGGATGCTGGACCCTTCAGTTGGGTATCACGAAACAAATCCACTTCTGGAACAGCAGTCCTGTGCAAGGCATCTAGGCTGGAGCTGTCTGAAACGAGAGGTTATGCGGTGGTGTACAGCTGTGGGCAGCTGCTGCCCAGAAGGTGGAATCGAATGTTTCCATATGTCTTCCATCCTGGGACAAAGACTGCATGTGGGCATTGCCACATGTAAGGTCTGCTCCACACAGAGTGGGTGGGAGAAACTGATCACAGAGGGCTGCACTGCCATCTGCCAGTAAGAGACGATTGTTCATAGCCCCCTTCATCACCCAGGTCCCTAGAGAAGGTAGGACAGTGGGAACGTTCGAGATCAGGTAATGTTTTTAAGTTGCCACTAAGGCCAGTAGCCTCATCTGAACGGAGGGCAGGTGGGAAACAAGTTCTTATACTGGGCTGTACTGGACTTCTACTTGTGGATGGTGAAAGAACTGGAGATCCCTTCTGGATGAGAGATGAGGTAGGTTCCACAGAGCAGAGTTGAGACTATGGTTGGGAAAGGAGACCACATTCAGGCTATTCTACAGATTGGTAGATTTTTCTCTTATCATTCAGCTGTTGGTCATCTGTACTTCCGTGAACAATTGTACATTTAACATTGATCAGATTGCTGTGAGACAGGTGACATCGCTTGTACAGGTTGTAAGACTATGGTTGGGAAAGGAGACCACATTCAGGCTCTTCTACAGATTGGTAGATTTTTCTCTTATCATTCAGTTGTTGGTCATCTGTACTTCTGTGGACAATTGTACATTTAACATTGATCAGATTGCTGTGAGACAGGTGACATCGCTTGTACAGGTTGTCACATCACTCTTTGCCCTTGGGACAGGGCCTCACTGTGTTGTTCAGGCTGGCTTTGTACCTCTACGTGACACAGGCTGCCTTGAACTCGGTGGTGATCATCCTGTGTGGGCCTCTTGGGTGCTGGGGTTACAGATGTGTGCCACCGTGCCTGGCTTCATATCAGACTTGTTTTTTCTCTTAAATTCTTTCATTGGTACATTTTAGGTATACAGTATATTTACATTCATCATTGGGAACTTGTACCTTTACATACCAGACATTTTAAAACTGACAATTCATTTAATTTTTATGAGATAATTGGATGGGAGAAGAATGCTTATGTCTTAGGGCTTTCTAAGGTCTCAGCTTCTAAGAGGAACCAAAATTCTAACCCTCAACTTAAGCTATCTGGCTTGATTGCGATATTTATATTCATTTGTAGATATACATTCTTGCATATGTATGTGTAAATGTTTGTTTTAAGTTACTAGAATTTTTCACACTACAGGTAGAAAATCAGTAATTTTCATTATATGACTATTTGTTCCTGATGGTAATGCATAGTTTGCATTTTTCCTTAATGGTACTCTTTAAGGGATTGTCTACCTCAGTGGTTCTCAAAAGTGTGGTCTGTGGACCACTGTGCATCCCCATCCAGGGGCTTTCCAGCTCACAGCTTTCAGGGTAAGAAATGTTTTCCTTTTTCACCATGCTGACATCTACACCGATGGTGTCTCAGCAAGTCTCCAACCAGACTTCAAATGGTGCTAATACACTGTACTCTTACTGCATTTTTAGCACCACTCACTTCCAGTAAAACAGTATCGCAGTCACCTGAGAATGTATTGCTGATGAGATCTAAGGAGGTACTAATCAATGTGATGTGTTGATAAGTGTAATGAAACATCAACCTTTGGAAGATCTGTATGACTCAGTTCACCAGTATTTCCCACTGTTACAAAGTAAGGCATGGATAAACGAACCCTGCAAAGACCACGATTAACGAGTGAGTCTTTAACTGTGCGAAGTTCCTGATAGTTTCCAAGTCCAAATTATGATGAAAGCTTACTGACGTTGGTCATAGCATTAAAGAATATCCATAATATTTGAAATGGCTACTCTTTCCAAGGACATGTCTGGGAGAAGCCAGAGTTTCCTTGTATATTTCAAATAACTAAACTGTCCAATTTCAAAAAGTTACCTCATTAAAGCATATAGTGAAGAGACTTGGACATTTAAAGCAATGCCGCTGTTTTGTATACTTTTGATTATACTTTCCTGCTGGGTGTTTAACGTAAAGTGAGACATCTGTTCACCAGAATTAGCCTGTATTAATGTATCTAATTTGCTAAGGTCAGTTCAGGATTCTCAGGCAATACTTTGGGGCCATGGGCAGGGCCTCCTAACTCTTCTGATTGTTTCCTCTGATTACTTGTGTCATCTGCCAGGAGGGCTCATGGTCTTTGTTGACCACTTAGTTCTTTTAGAACCACGGGACACTTCCCTTTTCAGGGACCTTTTCAGTCATCCTGCTCAGGAAGTCGGTGACTCATTGGAATTGTAGGACCCGTTAGAGGGATCCATTCCCATCCTGGCTTCTGGCTGATCTTGGGAGTGGGGCAAGGGCCAAAATAGTGGCAGTCTTCATAGCCCAGTTACCTTTGCAGCTTGGATGTCTGAAGCCTTAGTTGTTTAACACCTAGGAGATCAGCTACACTAGTACTGAAGTGGGAGGGTAAATTCATCTGTCGCCTGGACGTGGAGCACTTCGAAGTCCGGAGTTGGCCAGAGGACTGTTTCTTTCACCAATCCTGGGTGTCTTAGGAGTCAGATTTCTATGGAATGTTACTAGGTAACAGTAAAAAAGTTTTTCAGGGAAAATTTGAAATCAAGAACAAACATTTAGCGCAATAATCAGGACCCGTTAGGGATCCATTCCCATCCTGGCTTCTGGCTGATCTTGGGAGTGGGGCAAGGGCCAAAATATTGGCAGTCTTCATAGCCCAGTTACCTTTGCAGCTTTGATGTCTGAAGCCTTAGTTGTTTAACACCTAGGAGATCAGCTACACTAGTATTGAAGTGGGAGGGTAAATTCATCTGTCGCCTGGACGTGGAGCACTTCGAAGTCCGGAGTTGGCCAGAGGACTGTTTCTTTCACCAATCCTGGGTGTCTTAGGAGTCAGATTTCTATGGAATGTTACTAGGTAACAGTAAAAAAGTTTTTCAGGGAAAATTTGAAATCAAGAACAAACATTTAGCGCAATAATCATGAATTGTATGAGAACCATTAGGTTTTTGCTATTATCTCAGAAATAATCTAATTTTCTATTTTAGTACAGAGTGGTTTTTAGTTGGTTTTCTTTACCTAACTCTAAGATATGAAATGTCATAAACTCTCACCTAAACATTTTTTAACAATGTCTTTTAAAAAAGAACGTATTTGTAGAATGAAAAGATGAAAATAAAGTGTTTGTAGATGGGGAGGGGAGGAGGGGGTGAAGGGAGGGCAGAGGTAAGGGGAAAAAAATGAGAATCAAGACTTGCCATGTAAAGGTACATGATCCCAACAATGAATGTAACTGTACTGTATCCCTAAATGTACCAATAAACTCAATTAAAAAAAAAAACGTATTTGTTTACAGATATACTTCATGGTTTACTGATGTCTGCTTCAAGTATATGTTTATGCACATCTGCCTATCATTATCCAATTACATAATCATTATAATTGTAAAATTTAAAGTCTTATCAGTGAATTTTTGTTTGGAGGTCAGTGTGATGTGATAAAATGTGTTTAAGTTCCATATCCTAGATTGCTTGTACATTTGGGAAACACAAATACATTTAATATACCATGAGATTAGTAATAATTAGCATCACAGCTATACAAATACCTTTATATGTATTTCCTTAGCTTTTACTCTTAAAGTTTAGATTACTTTAAAAGGTTTTATGGTATAACTGCATTGACATAATTAAAGGACATCTGTGGAACTCTTATGAGTTTAGTAAACCATGACCACAAGTAGACGTTTTTATATGTGTATCTCACATATAGCAAAATGCTCGTTGGATCAAAGTCAATACATGTAGATCAAATTTTGAATGGCAGGACCAAATTTAAAGAGATACCATAAACTTTTATCATTTTGTATGCCTAAGTCCTAGATATAATGTGTATTATATAAATGAACTTTTAATTCAGGTATTAAGCTTAACTTTAAAAGCTTAGTTTTATAGCATATTTTGCCTTCAGATGTATATACATTTCTAATTTCACATACACAAACATATCTATATCTATACATATATAGTTTTAAACTTTAATAGTCATTTATTTGGCATGAGTATTGATACCATTTGATAAGTCAACATTTAAATGTAATTTTAGTTTAACCAAAGACCTAACAAA